AAAAAGCGAAAGAAATAAAGAAAGAAAAAAAAAATGGAAGAAAGAAAAAAATAAAAAAAGAAAGAAGAAGAAGAAGAATAAAAATAAGAAAGTAAAAAAAAAAAAGGTGATGGGGGAGGGTGAGGGCTGGTAGGGCGACGGCCGCCCTGCCACCCTCACCCCCCCCCCCAATGCATATTTTGTTTTACGAAAAAAATACATAAAAATATCAAAAAAACGAAAAAAGAAAGAAAGAAAGAAAGAAAGAAAGAAAGAAAGAAAGAAAGAAAAGAAGAAAGAAAGAAAGCAAGAAAGAAAAAAAGAAAGAAAGAAGAAGAAGAAGAAGGAGAAGAAGAAGAAGAAGAAGAAGAAGAAGAAGAAGACGAAAGTAAAAAAAAAAAAGGTGATGGGGGAGGGTGAGGGCTGGCAGGGCGACGGTCGCCCTGCCACGTGGCAGCGGCGCTCACCCCCCCCCCCAATGCATATTTTTTTTTTGAAAGAAAGAAAGAAAGAAAGAAAGAAGAAGAAGAACAAGAACAAGAACAGGAAGAAGTGAAATAAGTGAAATAGCGAGGCCAATTGCTATGCGTCCATGTCTCAACAAAGTTCAACAAGCTCTTGCACGGACAATATGCTCGACACGCACATTCCCCGACGCGTTTCGCGTGGCTGCGCACCAGGACTTATCAAGGGGCAACCACTTTCCCGCATCCACCGTACTACGCCACCTAGAGCAAAGAGGGCCGTTCTGACCTTGCCCTCAGAACATATAATGACACTCACTCCACGTCCGCAACTGACTGGGCGGACTCCGACTCAGCTCGTATGTGACGGACCTGGCAAGTTCGTACGTTCACCCCACTTTCCCGCCAACCCCTGTGTGCCTCCCACGTCCGCAACTGACTGGGCGGACTCCGACTTAGCTCGTATGTGACCGACCTGGCAAGCCCGTACTTCACCCCACTTTCCTGCCAACCCCTGTGTGCCTCCCGTTGCGCCAAGTTGTTACAAATCGACGTGTACTCTGGCTACTCCAGCTACACCCCCCTCTGCCCCAGGCCCATTTTTCGCGATTTGTACATGCTGGTCTGGAACGTCTACCCTACTTAACTGGTTCCGACACTACTGGCCCCGGCGACTCCATTCTAGGTCCTACCCGCCCCCCTTTTTGAAAAAAATAAAAAAGTACCCTCCCTTCGCACATCCAGCACCTCCACGTGCCTCCTTACCTCGCCCCTTCTCGCTGTTCGCACCGTTTACCTCCTTTCCCTTCTACCTGCTTTTCCCTGCCTCCTGCCCACCCTACTACCCAGGCCCAGCTCCTTGATGGCACTATTGTACAACCCGGTTGTCGTCACCGAGACCCGGGATTCCCCTATTCTATCTAATGTACACCCCGGTCTGCCCAGGGCTAATTTCCTCTCTCTCTCCCCTACCCTGCACCGCTCCCCTCGCCTCCACCCCCCGCTCTCTGCTCCCATGCTCACCTAATATACAGCCCGGTTGTACGCATTTAGACCGGGTATCTACCTTTGCTCCCTTCCTACCTACATTCCCTACTGTGCATGGGCTCCCACTGGTTGCTCTCCTTTCTGTGCACAGGCTCCCGTACCAAGCTCTCCTTCGTCCCTGCCACCCGTTAGATTGTCACTTTTTAACCTTACCGGCCGCTCGGTCAGCGCCTTCAACGCTGCCCCGAACGGGCCGGTGGCTCTGGCAAATACCGCTAGAGCATTGGAAAAGAGCGCCGGGGGATAACCCCGGCGCCCGAGCTCTATACTGATGGAAAGCGTTGCTGAGACTCCCGTTGCTGGGTCGCTGGCATGATGCCTGATCCTGTGCAGCGCCGCAATCACCGTCCCCGCCTTCACACGCTTATCAGAATATGAAGCAAAGTCCTGGAAGCATCTAAAGACTAGGGGGTCTTCCAACTTGGCCCCCTCATTCTTATGCTTGGGGTGGATCACAAACGTGATCGGTCCTGACAAAGCTGCAGCCCTGGTCCCCAAAAAATCTCAAGAGTTGGACCCATCATCTGTCCTCACGAGCGTAAGCTGCTCCCCGTACACCTTCTCAAACTTCTGACACACTCTCCTTGCCGTCGCCACACTCCGAAGGTTACCCATGTCGCAAGCAACTGCCAGTGTGACGTCATCTACTAGCCTGACCCCATGCACCAGCCTCTGATCCGCCCCTAGAGAGCTCAAGAAGTCCACCTCTTGCTTTGCGCACAATATGCACGCTACGGAGGGGCTGGAGTTCTTCCCCATGGGGATACCCACAACTTGCCTGAGAACCGTCTTCGCACATGTGATGAACGTATTTCTCAATTCATAACCAACCATCTGACGGATCTGGGAGAACTTAATTGTAACATAGCCTGGCCCAAGGCTTCTACTACTCACGGATACAATCCTACCACGTCTGCTCAGTCTCAGCTTGAACACCCCTTGTTAACTCCCATTGTCTCAGCAACCAATCAACAGCTCGCTCAATCGCACCGTGCGGCAGCGACGTGAACATCTCCTTAATGTCATAGCTAGCCATCAGTGCCATCGACCTCCCACCAAACAAACTAATCTTTCTTACTGCACCCTCCAAGTTCTGCTTCAGCAACGCCGTGACCTTCAGATTAAAGTGCTTGACTTTAGGGACCCTTTCAAGTAGGAAGTTCAGCGCCCGAGCTAGCCTCCTCCCCGCGGTCCTTGAGCCTTCCGCATTCGCCGGTGCGATCGGCCTCCACCTTGTCAGATCCTTATGCTTTGGTAGGACATACGCCTTCCCAAACTTGGCCGCCGGGTTCCAGGCCCCCACCTTGTCAAGGGCCAATTTTTTGTACTCCGTCTTCACCTGAGCAAGCACCTCATCCTCAGTCATACTCGACTCTCGCTCGTACGCGCCGTTAAGAGTGAACATCATCTGGAGGCCATGGTAATACGTCGAGGGGCACATGACCACCAAGTCACCCGGGTTCCTGTCTACCGGGACTACAACCAGGTGACTCAGCTTCGCTGCTAACTCCTTCGCTTGCTTCTCATATACAGCAGTCCTGACCTCTGCTCGGTCTGAGACAATCTCTTGTAAATCACTCAGGTCTGCTACCTGGTACAAATCTCTACCCATGACTTCCCCCAAGGACCGTCCAATAGCCTGCTGACCTCAGTCGGTCTTGTCCCACCATCGCTTTGCAGCACATTCTTCCCATTGTGCAGAAATGGGGGAATCACTGGGCATTGCGCGACCCGAGCCAACACATGTCCTTCTTCTCTCGGTAACTGATCCTGGCCACAAGTACATCGCCATACCCCCTCCCTTGCTGCCTCCCTATGGTTGGTGAGAACCTGCTTCACCGTACTATTCTTCTTCCACACCACCCTCACGCGGCGCTGCAGCACCGTCTTCAGCACGGGGTGGGTCTTGCTCTTCCCCACACACAACACCACTGTGTCATGGATCTTCCTCTTCCTGAGCTTATGGCTATACTTCACGCCCACGCTGATCTTCAACCTGATATTCACCCCCGTCTTTTTCCTGATCACCGACGCTATCTTCTCCTTCAGGGTCCTCCGAGTGGCCTTGGTCTTGAATTCCCTAGCACACCGATACAAAAATACCAGCTTTGAAACGCCAAAAAACTTAAGCTCGGCTTGCTTCCTCGACATCTCAAGCAACTGCCTAAGATACCCTTTCCCTCTGCATCGTGCACTCTCGGTCTTCACTACCGGTGCCACTCTGAATCTGCCCCCTTTCTCAAGGTGCTGCTTAGCCCTCCTTAACGGCATCTTCACTTCCTTAACGAGAAGTGTCGATGTACCAAACTTCCTTCGGACAATTGACCACTTCTCTCCCCACACCTCACCGCCGGACGACTCAAGCCTCACCCCCTTTATCCCTGCTTCATAAGTGTCCTCCAACACCTCTACTAAGCTGAAGTACTGCTTCCCCTGTTCCACTAAAGTGAAGGACAGCAACCATCTTCTTTGTGCTGGGACTCGGGCCTCCACCCTCTGCCTCTCCTTCTTACCTAGCCTAGCCTTACGTTTCAACCCCGCACTCCGGCCTACCACATTAAGTGTCGGAGAAAATCTGCAGATAAGTGTCCTCTCTTGCATCTGCAAGCCGTTTCTCGCCCCTGTTGCTATAGGGAGGACCAGATACTTTTGCCATCCGAAGACCTTCAAAAAAGAATACAGCTTGGGGGCGTGGCCGTTATTGCCCGACTTCGTGCACCGAATATGCATCCACCACCTCTCACCAGCTCCTCTGACAGACTGGCCAATGTACAACTTCTTGCACCAAGGTGATACCAAACAGTACACCGCCGGACCCCTCAGATCGAAAAAATCATGGCTCGTCGGGGTCACCGTAAGCAACTTTTTTGCCCAAGGCGCCACCCCACTCATCACCAGCAAAAGAAAAGCCGCAATTAGCAGCTGCTCAATGCTGATCCTAAGATTCGTCAAGCCATACGTCCCCCAGATGCACTCTCGAAGCCCCATGTACATCAGGAGCTTACCCCAGAGATACCGCGCTGGGGTAGCGCACCGTCAATCTGCATGAGGTGCCACTTCTCCATCCGGCCTCCTGTCTTCCTTCCCACCCTCGGCGCCATCTACCCCGGTAAGCCAACCATCGTACGCCTCCCTAGTCTTTGCTGCCGCCAGGTCTTTAACCGCCTGTGCCTTCGATACCCACTTGATGTTCTTCCTCTTACACATTAGCTTGAGCTCCGGGGCTTGCTTCGCTTGTAAACTCTCTCGCAACTCGAGGGCAAAATCAATCACCCCTTGCTTGGAACACGATGCAACTGCTCCCTTCTTCTTTGTCTCCGTGTCCATTGGTTCCTTCCCTTTCCTCATCCCCACCGTCCGCTTCTTGGTAACAGGCGTAGCAGCAATCCTTACTCCGGTATCAACTCCCCTCTCATACTCATCCAAGTCCAGCCTCCTTTTCAGGTTCGGGTAAGGCTCCTCTCGAGGTCTCCTTGGTACCTCACCCTCCGTACGCTCCAGGAAACGCATCAAGCCTTCGTAAAGCCTCGAATTCTTCTCCTCTGACGCAGTGAGCGTGGATTGAACATGGTCTTTGATTTTCTCCTCCAGGGCCGCCATCTGCTTGGCAAAGGCTTGCGCAACTGTAGCTTCCATAATCGCTTATGCCCGTCGTCTTTCAGTTTCCTCCCTCTGCTTCGCCTCCTCCAACCTCTGTCTCTCTTCCTCCTGTCGCCTCTTCTCCTGCTCCTCCTTCTTCTTCTCTGTCGCTTTCCGCTGCTGGTTCTCAACAAACATAAGCAGCCTATTTAGCCGATCCTCCTCCTCATTCTTCCTTGGTTGGTTGTAAGCACCTTGCGCGTAGCTACCCGAACCATAGCTCCCCTGGCCTTGAGCTGACCAACCCCTCCCCATCTGCTTGTGCGGGCAATCCCACGAGAAGTGCCCGTACTCCCCACAACTATAACATTGTCCTCCTGGCCCTCCAGGCGGGGGACGGGGAGCCGGATGAGGTGGTGAGGATGGGCCGGGTGTGTGTGCAGATCCTGTATAACCCGAAGGAAGCGACCCCGGAGCACTCGGTGGAGGATACATCGTTAACAGTTGTCAACTTCGACTGTCGCACTTCCTGGTTCACGGTCTTCACCACACGACAACTCCAGCAACCTTCACACCAGGAGACACACCTCGGGCAACAGTCAGTTGGCAAACCTCACTTGAAGACCACACGTGGCAGGCAGCAATCACTGCTCACACACCTTCACAAACTCCCGACACACAACCCCGTCAGCCTCTGCTCCCCTGCTTCTGCTCTCACCTCCTCACAGCCCTCCACCCCACTGCCTCTTATGATCTCGCAACAATACTCACACTACGTCCACGACCCCGCACCGTCCTAACTACCACGAGCACGAGTCTCACCCTCCCTCGATACACGACTACCCACAACTCCTGCTTCTACCGAAACCACCCACACTTTACGTTCCACACTCGCCCTCTCTCCTTTTTTGTATATCTTTACCACACCAAACAACCCCGCTACTTCGGGCCTCTCCCAATAAGCTACTACAAGCTGCAGGTCACACTCACCAAGCTCTCCTCAGTACTCAACCTCTGCAAGTTTCCGGTATCATGTCTCGTGACATTCCACTCGCACATCTGTCCTACATACCACCAATGCCGCTATCCCTCCGTCACCAGATCCACACGCAACACCCCTTCACTCAACCAGCCCACGAATTCAACCCCTCACCAGAAAACTATACTCGGGAAATACCACGACAGCCAAGACAATATCCAGTTGCACTCGCAGGGAACAACTCAATCACACTCAAGTGGCGCTGGTCAGTTCCACCCGTGAGCAACAAACTTAATTACCGAACCACTCATACCAGGTACGTACAACACTTTTTCGCCTACCCACCTCAGCCGGTGCGAGAATGTCATACTCACCTTCATACGTAGCTAAACCCGCTGCAGTCCGATAACACTGTTCAGACCTACTCCCTTGCTACCATACTCTCAACTGCAAACTCGCACATCGCACAACCGTTCTTCTCCGTCCACACTCTACAACATAACCTCTCCCACCCGTACGTCCGTAACCTTGCAACCTCCCTCCGCTGGCGCAATTGCAGGCAAGCAGAACTGTTGCCGGTGTACCTGCAAATCAAGCTCGCCAACCACTCCCTTAGGACAAGGTCATACAGGCGAGACAACAAGGCAACTTAAACTCACACCGCAACCACCGTCGGTCATGCTCAGCACTCCCCCGTCGCACTGCCGGACAGGTTCCAATTTGCTCCCTTTGAACAAACCATCCGAGCACTTGACAGCTTCACATACCCTGCTCCGTGGGACTAAAACAGGGGAGATAAAGGGGGAGAACGAGAGTGAGATAGAGGGAGATAGATAGATAGATAGATAGATAGATAGA